TGCACAAAGTATGGGATGAAGTATAGCAGGTGGTTCTGTGATTTGGTTGGTGGATCCTTTTCGTGAAGTATAGCAGGTGGTTCTGTGATTTGGTAGTGCAGTTTTCATCTGCTCATATCAGGGTTCAAGCATCAGAGACTGGTTAAAATTTGTCTGCAGGCCTTGTGTCACGGGAGGACTTCAGAGGAAGAGAGAGGCTTCCTGGGCCCACAGAAAGACAAATAATTTTGAAATACTGGTTTGTATTAACATAAAAAATCTATTAATATTGCATACATACAGGTGACTACTAAACGCATTAAGTTAGGTTTTACAGATTATTTCATAAATGTGATTCATATACATTTCTCTCCATGTAAAAACAGTGAATGTGTCTTGCTGAATTATGGTAATATTGAGGAGAACAGAAAAAGGAGCCTGCCCACCAGGTTTAAAAATAGAAAATCCAAGTCATCCTGTCCATATGGGACCAGAGAGATAATTTTATTGTAAATTTTCCATCTTTATTTTCACTTGATTTATTCTATTAAAATTCTAGTGATTCCAGTATTTGTCACCAGGTGGCACTGCAGTGACATTATCGTGTAGCCACTCTTCATGCCCCAGTAGCAGCATAATGAGGTCATCTTCAGATAATTAGAAAAGTATGCATCAGTTCTTCGGATTGCATTAAGCACTTCTTTCTCCACACCGTTATGTTTATACCACCAGGCTTGCTGGCACAGCTATGACAGCTAGTGTGTTTAATTCTGTGGCTGAGGGAGCTGGGGTTGTTCAGCCTGGAGAAAAGGAGGCTGAGGGGAGACCTTATCACTCTCTGCAACTCCCTAAAAGCAGGTTGTAGAGAGGCGGGGGTTGGTCTCTTCTCCCAAGTCACAGGCGACAGGACGAGAGGAAATGGCCTCAAATTGCACCAGGGGAGGTTCAGATTGGACATTAGGAAAAATTTTTACACTGAAAGGGTTATTAAACATTGGAATGGGCTGCCCAGGGAAGTGGTTGAGGCACCATCCCTGGAGGTGTTCAAAAGACAGGTTGACACAGAGCTTAGTGACATGGTTTAGTGATGTCTTTTTATCAGAGTTAGGTTGATGGTTGGACTAGATGATCTTAAAGCTCCCTTCCAACCCAGACAATTCTATGATGATTCTATTCCATTCTAATATTCTTACCCAATTTAACTTTGTAAGAAAAGGTCAGTAGTAGAGACCAAAACCCACCCTAAACTTAGTCTATCCAGATACTGCCATGAGCAATACTTGAGTTACACATCCTGATCCTAACTGTGACTCATCGGAGATTGTAGGAAGTAAAAAGAAATAAAGCTGGGAGTCCAGAGACCTGTTGGGCAGCAAGCTCCTCTGTTGAGGAGCCAACTTTAGCAATAATACAGCTGTCACCAACTGGAGTGCTGGTATCTGAGAAATCCCTTTAAAGTTTTTTGAGGGTAGATACAAGTAGTTTGGGATTTTTGCTTGCAGGTTGAGATGTGTAGCATTTACAGGTCTGCAGTGTAAAAAGCTCTCATGGCTTTCTTTTAGATGTCTGATGCCTCCCTGATCTTCATCAGGATCATGATATTTAGTAGGGAAATAATGCTGTGATACAGAAAATTATAAGCAAGAAAGGTTGCTTCTTACTGTGTCTCATATGGCACACGGCTGGATGGTGTGTGTAAATACACACAAAACACTAGCATACACTGAACAGAACCTTTCTCTGTAGCAGACAAATAAAAATACTGGTGATTTTCACAATCTGCTCCTGTTTTCTGCCACTAAAATGTTGTTGTCCTTAGGGGAACAGTGATTGTACTACAGACAGTTGTACATATGCAGAATATTGTGTTTATTCTAATAAATTTAAATACACAACCATTTGGAAGATCATAATCCAAGGCTATACATGAATCAGAAAAGGGAGTCTGATAGTACATGTAAAGGCAGTATATTACTACTACAAGAAGTTCTGACCTTTTTAAGGTCTTAAAATAAATTCCAGGCCAAAATAAACTTTGTTAGTACAAAATTAAGATTGTCTGTTGTGGACTTTTGAATGCCAAGTTGAATAAATTCAAGCGTCCAAAAAAAGACCCTAAAGAATTACAGAGTGAAAGCAAATTACTATCTGAACATTGCTATTATTCCCCACTCTTCAAAACGTACTCTTATGTAGTTCAGCTGCATTCCAGGTATTAAAAACCAAACTTAAGGAAAGTGGCTGGAAAAGTCTAGCAGAACTCCTCCTGTGATAGCAGTTACAATTAGTAAATCACAGAAATTTAAGTGGATGTTTACAACTGAAGGAAAGCATTGGAACAGGAACCTCAAGGGACCTATTTTGTCTCATTTCAAAATGTTTTTTTGTTAACTTGTGTCACTGGCAAGGTGTAGCAATCATTGAGCCACAAAGACTCCAGGCAGTCAGGTAGAAGATGAACTGTCTAGGGTTGTTCTGATGAATGAGTAAAATGTGAAATTATATACTGTAAATAAAGGTGAGGAAGTGCTTGAGCATTGCAGATATCAGGTTCTTTTTGCACCCTAAAACGTTTGACTGGAGAGCACGTACAAACTCCTTCTCCACAAAGTTTAAAAACAGTGCAAGTATATGCATTATGGTTATACCATGAGTCTGACTAGTGAAGGTAAGCTATGGATCCAGGAGCATATTAAATACATATTTTGGGGTTTTCTTTTTTTTTTTTTTTTTTTTTTTTTTTTTTTTTCTGTCTTCCAACAGTGATCATAAACTAAAAGCAGGAAGAAAAATAAAACAGCAAGTCAGTCTAAAACAGCATCTATTTTCTAGCACCCTCTAGATACATTCATAATTTTCTTGTTTCTGGAAGTCAGAATTTAACTGATTTAACTGATTTTACTATTCAGATGTTGCTACAGCTAAGGAAAGGTAAAAATAGTATGGAATTTGTAAGCATTTCTTGCGCCTCTTACTGACCTTATGCATAGGAAATCATTCTTGTATATTTAAATGGTTGTAATTTTTATTAGTAACCTGATTTGGAAAGCTGTGTCTGAAAATCATGGCAATTTTATTACACAGCACTGGCAATAACTTAAAAAGCAGACTACCACGCATCTCCCTTTATCCATCTACTGAGCTTTCGCTCTCTACAATATAGTCACATACAATATAATTCTGTGATAATTTCTAGCATCTATTTCACTCCCTTTACATGCTTACCAGTTTTTTAAAGCTATTGGTTTGCTGTAAGGTGTTCCTTTTTTTGTCTTAACACTTGTTATTGAATCCCAAATATACTACAAACCATAGCTCTTTGGACAGTCAAGGTAATTAAGCTTTAGAGATCACATACTGCTACTTTAATACCTTCCTCATGTTCCTCCACTGCCTGACTTCCTGCCTTGGCTGTAAGTAGATACCCTTCCTCTATCATCTGTATTTTCTGCTTTTCAGAGGTTTAAATCAGCCCTCAGTTCAATGTCCTACACCTACGGGTTTGCTTCAGAAACAGGTGGGCTGATAAAGAAATACATGCTGTCCAGGAACTCCTGTTTTCACCAAATCCTGGTAGAAACTCAGAGATAGGAGAAAAGGGACTGAGATCTTGCTTTTCCATTTTAGGCACAAGAAAGACAGCAGAATTTAAAATATTCTTGAATGGACAGGGAAATCCCTGAGCAACGGATTCATGTCTATTGTGGAATTAACTTTTTCTTGAATATCATGCTTTATGTTGCTCTTTCAAAAGAACAGTACATGCCATGCACTAGCTGAAGTAACTATCAACCACATGAAAATGTCTGGACTTTTTCAGTGTTATAGCTGTATTAATAAAACAAATAATGCAGTTATTTTCTCCTGAAGCCTTGCTCTGTCGCCCAGGAGTTCTCCTGCAGGATGAAAACCTACATGGGCACCTGAAGCACTCGGGCTACTATGGCAATAGGAGCCAAGAACTAATTTCTTGGCTTTCTATGCTAATCTGGCTTTTTATGAGGCCTCAGGCAGACTGGTGAGCTCTTTGTCTGAGAAACCACGTGCCAGTTGAATTACTGGTTGAAGCACATAGATCAAACAAAGCAACTGGACATCTAGCAAGGAGGGAGGAGAGAAAACTGTAGTCTTGTGCTGCGGATGAGAGACATCTTGTCCTAGTTACAAGAAGGGGTGCCCAAGGAAGGCCAGTGTTTGACTTCACACCTCTCCAAAGAAAGTGATCACCTTTATAACAACAGCTGTTGCACTGTGAGAAATTGTTCTGTGAGCAGCAGATGCAAGGCCTCTCTCCACCTCAATCTGTCGCAGAATCACGGAATGATACAGGGTTAGAAGGGGCTGCTGGAGATCATCCAGTCCAACCCCCTGCCAGGGGTTGTCTCCCACATCTAACTCAGTGAACGCTTTCCCTGCACTGTCTGTGTGCCCTCCCTCTCATCTCCTGTGCCACCCCGCAGCATTCCTTCCTCTGCCTGCTCCCCTGCAGCCGCCTCACCATCTCTGGCCTGAAGCTCACTTCCCTCTCCCACAGCGAGACCCCACCGGGACACCCTGCCTGCCTTTCCCTCAGGGGAGACCTCAGCAAGGGGCTCTCCTGCCTGGGGACAGAACACCACAGAGCTCGCAGGACCTGAACGCCTGTGAGACCCCTACTCTAAACCAACACGGCAGCGTTTGCGGCTCCTCTCCCTGCAGGCGGGTCAGGCACCGAGGGAGCCGAGCTAGCGGGGAAGCCTCTGGGCGAGTTTTCCCCTCAGGCAGCGCAGCCCCACTGGAACACATCTGTCCCTACAGCCGCGAAGACCGAGCTCTGGCGGTTTGCGGCGAGTTCGCCCATATGTCGGAGCTGAGAGGGAACAACGGTGCCTGAAGGAGGCGCGACACCATCAGCCCACCCGGCGCCCCCACGGCTGCGCAGGGCGGCGCACGCGCGGAGCCGTCCCCGCGCCCAGCAACGCGCAGGCGCAGTGGCGGGGGAGGCGGGGCGGGCGGGGGTGGGCGGGGCTTTCCTCAGGGACGTTACAACTCGTCGAGGTTGGCGGCGGCGCCATTTTGAATTGGCGGAGGGTCGGAGGCGGCGGTCGGTCGAACCGGGCTTCGCGTCCCCCAGAGAAAAGCTGCGAGAAAGGAGTGAGGTGTGACTATGGCAGCGAACAGGAACTTAAAGCAAGTACGGATCGAGAATAGCTCCCCCGCAGCGCCGCTGGGCATGGTGGGGGGTGGCGGCGGCGGCGGCAACCTGAAGGGATTGCGGGGCCTAGAAACGGAGAGTGAGGCGGCGGCGGCGGCGGCAATGGCGCTGGTGCCGAGCAAAGAAGGTGGAGATGAAGAGCAGGAGGTTGGGTTCACCATCGATATCAAAAGCTTCCTCAAACCTGGCGAGAAGAGCTACACGCAGCGCTGCCGGCTCTTCGTGGGGAATCTGCCGACTGATATCACTGAGGAAGATTTCAAGCGCCTTTTCGAGCGCTACGGGGAGCCGAGCGAGGTCTTCATCAATCGGGACCGTGGCTTTGGCTTCATTCGCCTGGTGAGGATTCGCGCCAGCCTCTGTGGCTGCCCGTAACCGGGGGCGTCTGTCCCTTGCTCCCCCTCCCTCCTTCCCTTGTCGGGCGGGTGTGAAAAAGATAGTAGCTGCCCCTCATTCTCTGTTGTTTCCCCTTGCTGTTGCCTCTGCTTCCTCTTCCTTCCCCCTCCCCTATTTGCCTCGGTACATCCGAGCTGGAGGTCTGCGTTGAGAGCAGCCTCCCCAGCCCTTCACCTTTGGGTTCCCCCCTCACGACTGGGCGGGTTTCAGGGCCCCTCCACCGGTCACCGGCCGTGTGCTGCTGCCACGGGTGTTCCTGCAGCCTGGTGTTATTCAGAGAATGGAGGATGTGGGTGCGCGATCTGCTTTGTTCGTGAAATACCTGCATAAAGACGTACCTGATTTAACTGGGAGGATTTCTCGTGCTTTAGGACTAGAAAAAAAAAATCCTTCTCTGCGTAGAAGCAAATTCCAGTCTTTACAGTTCTTTATAGGTTCCATTTACGAAAACACAGTGAAAAACTGGACAGGATTATTTCGAGATACCACTGCTCACACATCGAGAAAACTGAACATGTAACCTTAAACTTGCAAAGAAACGGCGCCTTAGGTTATTTAAATTACTTGCGTGCAGATAAGACAAGATTTTTAGGGATAATACAATACTCGATCAAATATGTTCAAGTTGAGCACGCAAAAAAGGAATAATCTGAAGAGCATATGGAACTTTATTTAAATGTCAGTTTAACGTGCAGGATTAGTTTTCATGACTGCCGTGCCTAGAATGCACTGATTTATATCAGTCCGGGAATAGCTTTAGTGTCTCTCTGTGTCTCTAGTTATGATCTTTTCCATATATTTTACTGGTTAGGATTTTTTTCTTTTTTGGTTGTCATCTTAAAGATAAGTGCTTGTGGCATTCTGCCATACATCTTTTACCTTGAGAATCTCCTAGCCCGAAATAGCAATTTTCTGCAGGTGTGATATATTTATATGTTATTACTCAGTTTTGTATGTATGTAGATCAGATGCAGCTCTTATCTGAAATTCCCTTTTCTTTTATGTTTAGGGAATATGTTACTTTTTAACAATTTACTTAGTTGAACTGTGGAGAAAACGTCTATGAGAATAATTTCTTTAAATGTAAGGGATTGGAGGTATTAAACTCAGTGAAAATGTCTGAAATAAGGAAAAAGGCAGTTACTGATGCAGACTGTCTCATGGATGTGGGTGCAAAAACCCCGTAAGTGTTAGAAGAATAAATATATGAGCAAATAAGGTAACTTCATCATTTTGGACATCCATAGAGAGTTCATCCAACAATGGTGATAAGCAAATGTGATATTTTCACCTATTTAAAAACAATAACCCAAAACAAAACCTGAAACACTTTAGATCCTGTAGTATAATCTTGAAAATACTTTTTCCTATGGAGTTAGAGATGCAGAATATAAACGTATGTGTAGGTAAATATGAAAAATCATCAAGTTTTCAGTTGTACTGAAAGCCTTTCCAGAGCAGCAGAAATGTATCTTATCATAGTGAGAATTTGTTAGATCCTCTGATGTGCAACAAAAATTTGAACCTATATGGTTTGAATAAATCATAGGGGATGACAAATGCAATTTTTTTTTTCAATCAGTGGACAGGAACTTTGGGTGGTGGTTT